GTGCAACACAGATCTTTAATGCGATCAGACCGCGAGAGAACAGCACAGTCACGTACAGGCATCCCGAGAGCGCGCCCGCCGCCCCCCGGGCCCCGCTCTCCCCTCACCCGACACGGAGGTTACAAAAACAATACGTGAAACCGCGGAATTAGTTGTAAAAACGGACAGGGAAGGGGAGTGGGGGTCGCATGCACTAAGGACTAACACCGAGGGGCCGCCGGGAAACCGAAACCGTTAAGCAGCTTATCGGAGTCTCGAAGGGGAAAACCACCCGCGGGACCCTCCCCTCCACCGCACACACGCCTCTACAGCATTTACAGACACTCTCCTGCTTCCCCCGCGTGGAAACGTTAGGAGCGAGCTGTCTTTAATTAAAGATACCTGCCTCGCTGAGCTAACGAGCAGTGGCCAGGCTCACGCCCTGCCAGAGCCCAGCTCGGTGGGCAGCAAGTGCTTTACTCACACAACTCTCACAAAATACCGATCCTCGGGGTCTCGCCTGTGGCTGGCACAGCAAGGCAGCCTTCCTCCCCTAGTGTAAAATAAACCTAGTTACAAATAAGCTAGTTACAATATGCAAATTCCTCCCACACGTGTTAGGACACAGCTGGTGCCTCGGTCCCAGAAACAGTACACACCAACACGGGTGACTCCTTTCCTCGCCCTGCCCTTGGACTTCACCCCGAGTCACCTCTGCCCCTCGGCCACGTCCTGCCTGACTGGCCTTCAAAAAACATACAGCAACACTTTTTTTGCAAGTTGGAAAACTCCACAGAGGAAGCTCTGACTGGAGCGCACAGTAAATAGGCAGACTAGCTGTGGCTGTATTTCTCCATAGAAATGTCTACACCTGGTAACTCATCTGTCAAGGTACTAAAACCAGACTTGAGCACATCTTGGAGATGTACTCCAGCCGACTTGGTCATCCTCACAGAGATGAACAGCTTTCAAAATAGGCAGATCGGGGCCAAATTTTGTCTGTCTTGACTTAGCTGGGCTAGTGAGGCAACTCTCAAATGCTGGAGACATAAAAATGAAGTGGCTAAGCGCTAAAAGGAAAAAAAAACATTCTGAATTTCTTTTAACATATATAAACAGAAGGAAAAAGTAATTAAGTGAGAACCAGTGTTACTGGTGTGCTCACAAAGGGTCAGGTAGATCTTTTGGAAAGGGCTGAAGCGTTACAAACGTCACGGCAGCTCAGGTCTCTGACCCCAGCACTGCCTCGACTGCTGCGTTCGCTGGGTCAGGACAAACACAGTGTGTCAACCACTGGCCTGAATTGGAAACGATCCGTCCAGATTTATTTATTCCTACTAAAACAAAATCCTGTTAAACAGTACGTAACTGTGTCTCTACAAACTCACAGCTATCTGCCAAACAATAAAAATTCCAAACTACAAAAGATGAGTTGTATTCAGTAAATATAAATGGGAAATTTAGGCTTTGTGTAGAATGTTTATCAGACTATTTACAGTGCAACACAGATCGTTTGAGTTCAGATCTCGCCAGCTTCTCTCTCTTCTGATCTCTTGGAACGAGATTTGCCATTTGTGCTCTCGTGCCGCCTCTCAGAAGAGCTCTTCTCTTTTCTCTCTCTGTCTCGTGACTTTTCTCTTGAAGATCGATCTCTAGAAGATCTGAAGTACAAAGCAAACCATCGCTATAAGCTTCACAACTAAAAGAATTTTCAAATACACACAGAATGACATCATCTTTCCCTAAGAGGGCTGTGGCATAACACGAGTTTCTCACAGAAATGTGCTTAAGTACTGTGATGTCGGGAGTGGTGTCCCCCAAGACAGCAACTCTGGCCCCTCTCTGAGTTCTCTTTATGTAAGAGAATGCCAGTTTTGCAGCGCTGAGTGCAGGGCGCAGGCTTTGTTACTCTCTCTTTGGAGTGGTCCTTTCAAACTGTTGCCACAGGGGCTCTCCAAGATCTTCCCTGGGCCACTTATTAGTTTACTGGGCCATACTAAAGTGTCTGCAATTTCTTCCTTGTCTATCACACAGCTTTGTTTCTGTCTTCTGGAGTGGTTTTTCATTATGCTCTAAGCTAGTGGCTTTCTGCTCAACTGCTTTAAATACCAACTGTATTCTTTGGACTCCAACGCTTGCTAAGCCCTGGGCTTTTTACTTTGCATCCTGACAAGCGTTGTCCTCGGCAGCATCCTGGGTTCAAAGTCAGGATGACACAGATTTATATTCACAGCCCACAGCACGGGCTAATCTTTTCACAGCCTGCCTGAATGACAGCTACAGATTTTCAGCAGTGCTTCACTGTATCAGCCCACACAGAATTAAGCAGAAGGCTTCATACTAGGGCCAATCTGAAGAGGCTGTTTTTCTGTATGATTCACGCCAACTTATTGACTAACAGCCTTCAGAAGGGGCTGATCCTGAATGAGCTCTAGAGGCCTACACCCCTTCAGAACTAGGCAGAGGCTTTCACAAACTGCATAGAGCCAGGACAGAAGGACCTGGCAGGTACCTTAGAGGTTCCAGCTTTTATTCATGTTAAGGTTTGGAAATACTGCACCACTGATATATTAAAGCCTTACAGCCCTCTGTATCATGTGAGCCATTTCATTTTCAATAAATTGTGTCTTTTAACCAGAAGACATGAGTCTGATGAGGTTAACGCTTTTCCTGTCCCCACAGCAATGCCTCCTGCCCGTAGTCATCCTACCCCGAGATCTCCAGATCCTGCCACAGGCTCTCCATTTCCTTCTACAAGTGAGACCTCAGACCAGCAGAACCTGAATGCAGGTATCATTAATTCCTGAGGTGAAAAGAGAAGCTATGCTCTTTCAAGAAACAGCTGTTTTTCTGTTTGTTCTCTTGTTTTTATTTTCTTAAACTGATCCTGGTCTCTCCCCAGTTCTCAGTAATTTTGTGAAAGTATGTCACCTAGCCAATCCCCCTACAATCTTGATGGGCTGAATTAAATGTGTTCAAGGTTTTCGAAGTAATCCCTTACCTGCTCTTTAGTAATAGTTATTACAGGGTCTTCCTCACTTCCTAATTGTCCAAACTTCTTTTCTTTATTTTTCATGTTCAAGACAGATTTAAAAAAGGACTTTAGTATCTCAGCCATTGGAGAATCAACAGTATTTACACCCCCCCCTCAATTATTAACAGACTTATTTTTTTAGAACATTATTTCCCTCCCCTTCATCAGTAATCTTTAAAACCTGTTCTCACCCCTTTAGCTGAAGTGACACAAGACACACTGCAGGTTTGTTTCTAGAATTGTACTTGAGTGGTGGTGCCTAAGCAGGTGAGACAGTGCTAAAGCACTCTCCTAGGAGGAGCATTAAAAAAAAGCCAGATCTAACTTCAGCAAGCACCCAGTGATAGACTTGTTCCTAGGCTCAGAAGGGCTATAAGGAAACACAATGATTCCTTTCAATTTTTTCTAATACTCCTACATACGCTTGCCTCATCCTTTGTCCAATACAGTGGGTGTTTTGCCAAGTTTCAGAAGAGACTTAGAACCCTCCTTCGCACTATGGTGCTTCTCCTCAGCAACAGCAGAACGGTATACTCCTCCTCCTGGCTGACTTTTCCCCTCCCTCCAGTGCAGGTTCCTAAAGAAATGTCCATCTCTCGACCAGCTGCCTTCTTACCCTAAATAGACAACTTCCCTCAGATCTCAAATCATACACTTCCTTCCCCATGCCAGCGCTGAAAGCAGCTGGCAAGTGGCCTCCCAGGTACTTGCCTTTTACTGGGGAGACTCAGTTAGCTCAAGCAGGCCTTGGTGCTGCTTCTCATACAAGCAAGCCAGCAATTTCTCAAGGCTCAGTACTACAAATGAGGAAACCAGTTCTATCTCCTAGACTCTCCTCTCAAGCTGGGATCTTGCCCTACTGCTCTCATGTGAGGCCATCTATGAACGGCCACCAGGAAATCCTGCTTTGGCCCAGGAGCTGGTACAGGACACCGCTAACTCGAGAAACCAGTCATACTCCTGCTGGCTCTAAGGGACTGGGGAGGCCCACTGCGACTCCAAGGACTCCCCTTTCCAGAAGCACTCCTGTCAGGAATACATACTTGTGTTTTGAACTCCTGTCTCTGGACCCCCGTCGGTGACCTCTGCTGTGGCTGCGGGAACGGCTCCGGTGGCGTCTGTGTCGGTCTCGGGACCGGGAGCGAGACTTCCGCCGCTCACGGGAAGCTGATCTCGAGCGTCTCCGCCGCCTATCCCGAGACCGGGATCTGAAGAAGACACAGATTGCCTCAGACTCAGGACACAGGCCAGTACGTCTGATCTGTACACCTGAGCTCATCTCAGACATCCCCGAGTAACAAACATCCAGAGCACCAGCACCCAGCCCCCCCAGGCTCATCCCTGCGGCAGAACACCCGCGGGGGGAGCACCTCCCTCCTGGGCCTCATGCTGCCCACAAAATACCAGTGGGTAAATCTGAGTTGCTGGGAAGCTTATATAAAAAGCTCCCATCATTAATGTAAGCATGTGCCAGTGCCTAGAGCAGAGCTTACCACCCGTGCCTCACTCAAAGTGAGGCCTGTATAAGTAGGAGAGAGGCCAAAGTGGCATGTGAAATTACCACAACCCATGTGGCAGTCTGCCAAAGAGAGCCTCCCTTGTGAAAGTACTGTACTTCAGAAGCAGACTTGTTTCAATCTGCTCTAAAAACAAAACAAAGGATGCCAATGTTTATGGAAAGCGGTAGAGAGGAGGATCTCCAGGTATGTTATCACCGAGAGCAGGCTGTCATACCACTAAGGCAAGCTCTTCACAGAGATGTGGGGGCTTTTATCTTGAATCTTCATATTTTTACATCTGAGGTATTATGTATGTAACAAATATATTTTGGACATTTAAAACTACAAAAGTATATTAGGTATTTATTGAAAAAAATCCATCAAGTGCATTCTTAAACATACTCTGGAGGCACACAGCCCCCCCGTCCTGACTGGGCTAGCCACCAGCTGCCTGATAGCCCCAACGGGTCAACTTCAGTTGCACTGGACCACTGAGCTGCCTGAGCAGTAGTCCCCATTTCTTTCAGGGAGGAAAACAGACTGGGGCACTGAGTGAACTCCGTTTGTGAGACTCGGAAAAAACCTCAGCAGCTAGACAGAAACACAAATAGGCCTTTAGGAGAACTGCACACTCACCTTCGACGATCTCTGTTTCTTGATCCAGACCTATAAAGGAGAGGAAAGTTAAGCAAGAGAAGGTATGATATAGTCAGTGGGTTTTCAATAAAACCACCCATTCACCCTGGCAGCTCTTCTGAGCAACACAATGCCCCAAGTAATATGTCCATGAAAAAAAGGCTTGCCAGAAAACCATTAAAACATTTAATTATCTTCAGTTTGGAGGGCAGGAATGGGAATTTTTCAAAAACTGAAGAACTCTGTAGAAACACTAGTTTCTACATGCAGAGCTTCTTGTCAGAACAGAAGAGGTCTACAAACCAATTCAGTCTGTTAAAACACCACAACAAACCTTTCTAACTTTAAGCTTGCTGTTCATATTTGATAGGCACACTTTACGCTCTGCTGTCTAATATCAACTGGATCCCGACTAACATTTTCAAGAAAGAGTACCGTTCTGCAGTCAAAAAGACACTTGACAGTTTTCTGATTTCAATTCCTTTGAGGTAGTTGCAGACTAAAAAGGTTTTAATAAAGAGAAAATACAGGATTTTCTCACTCATCATATTTAACAAACATTAGATGGAAATTTGCATCGATTATTTTTTTTCTTGTTTGGGAAAGATGAGCTAGAGAAAAAAAGGAGACACAAACACAACAGAAAAGTAACCGATACACACAGAAAATCCTTCATCCCAGACTTCGAAAGCAACTTGAGAACAATCATCCAAGCCTCACTATTCTTTCTCACATTTCCATGGCTTCAGAGTTCACGTACGGCACTCTAACCTTCACACTGCAAGCGTTAGCTTTTGACAGTCTGTAAATAACACTGTCACAATTCTTTCAACTTCTGAAGCAAAATTCCTCAGCACCATTTAAAATACTACTCCACGTGAAAGATACACCCTCCCTCTTTCTCTACGGCCACGTCTCGGAAGCAGCCTACACCAAAACTTCACACGCTGTCTGAATGGTCTCTTTCTGCTTTAACTGAGCAGCAGCCAGTCTCCTTGTTTAGCAACTTAAGAGACTCACTCTTGTAACTGCTCCCATCTCCCCACTGCGTACAGACTCACAGGCCACGTTCCAGTTACACAGCCACAGAGCTGTTCTGGCACTGTAACAGGAGATGCAGCTGAAAGTTACCCACAGGCAAAACTTTAAAAAGCAAGAGAGAAACATCTATTTTGATAATATCATTTAAAATCATACCTGGATAAGACAAGATTAAGAGAATCAGTGTGCACTGACATTCCTTCACAAGAAAATGGGATTGTTCAGTCACAGTAGAAAGAAAAACGCACCCCCACAATTTAGAAAGGAATTCAGGTAGAAAGACTGTGTAAGAGGTAGAGCTGAACTTGGAGTCAGGCAAATGAACCACGCGCTGACGTAACACACAAGACGACCAGATGAAGGAAAAGCTGATAAACCAGGAGAGCAAGGCAATAAACACACACCTCCTTTTTCAGGAAACAGAACCTGACAGAGCAGCAGGACCTCCTGTAGATGCCTGGCAAGCAGCTGAGTTTCTTTTGGTGGCTGTAATTACTCCAAGTTCTTAATGTTCTTTTCCTCCTGATCACTTTATTCTGAATCACCAGTGCACACATCCACACAAAGCCATTTGACATCCCCTTGAAAAACCTGGCTGCCCTTCCATGCCTATGATCTGATATGAGCAGGAGTTCAAACAAACTCCCAGTAATCACTTCCTAGTGCTAGACTTCAGAATTCAGGAAGCATCCAACAAAACAGCACTTTCCTTATTAGCCTGAATCAGTATACAGCAGGAGACAGGAGAAGCCTGATGTCCAGAGAAGTGAGAGGCTGAGTATATTTCTTATACCCCCCCCCCTCTCTTTTTTGTCCCTGCATCACAGAGCCTATGTGCTAAGTTTCATAACTTGTGTTTTGTGCAACTTATTACAAAGGAAATCCCTTTGGCAACTCCACCTAAACTTGTTTGCTGGCATACTCTGGAAGTAAATACTGAGCTCTGCACTCCAAGCATGCTATCACAGAATTTCAGTCTTAAAGAGATCACTGGGTAGCCAGCAGTCACCAGCAACACCAAACAACACAGGACTTCATGTTTATTTACCACTGGGGGTGACAACCCAGTTCACTCATTCCTATGTGGAAATCACAGTTTAGTTGCAAAATTAATATAAAGTCTGTGAGAGCTAGAGTTTCACAAGTGACTCTACAGGTTTCCATAGTACGTCACAGTGCCTGCAAGTCACCAAAGACTTCTCAAAGTCAAGTGGTACTCCTTTTCTTACTGAGTAACACTGTGAGGATATGACAGGAAGAGTTATGAAGGAAACATGTTTTCTATGGTTCCTTAAAGTACCAAGCCCTGGTTAAGAGAGGTACTCTGAAAGGCAGAAGTCACCAAATAGGTTTTGATGAAAAAATGCCCTGTAAGCATGGTGCTGTGCAGCTCCCAGCAGAGAAGGTGCTGAGAAATCAAGAAATCTGGGCTCTGGTCCCAGTTCTGACACTGAGTATGCACTGGGAAAACTATTTTCCTTCTTTGGATCAAGTTCTCCTTTTGGAGAGGCAAATAATTAGACCCCCTCTGTATGGTAGTCCTGGCTCCTTCACACCACGCTTTTCTTCAGTATCTGAACAGAGGAGCATACAGGTGCCTCCACACAGAGCGAGAGCAAAGCCTGGCCACAGTCTCTAAGTAGTGCCACATATGGAACCAGCAAGAACTCTGACTTCAGGCCAACTCAATGCAGTTCTTAAACCCTTCGTATTTAAAGCATTAAATAAATTCAAAAGTGGCCCTCAAATCCCCTCATCAGATGAGCCCACAGATGGGCTACCTGTGAACACAAGAGGCTTAACTCTCACGAACTAAGGGATTGGTGGTGGTTTGGTTTTTTTTTTTAAATGACAAAACCAAAACCACCGACGTGCCATAGGAGGAAGAAAGGCAGCATTCTGGGGAGGTGCTGACCAACTAAGAGATCCAGAGGACTCCTCCTGAAGGCAACTCTGCTGAGCGATGAAATGACTTCCAGGAAGAAGCACCATGGAGCCAGACACACTGACTCCGGGTCAGACATGGTCCTACCATGCGTCAGAACGAGCGTGCCAGGAGGCAGCTGCATGGGATGACACTTCCTGTTTCATTTCCATCTTTCTGTCCATAGCAACAGCATACACCAGTGCCTTTTGATTAACTCCTGCACTCATCAGCCAGTTCCAGATTTTACAGCTCCCAATTGTAACTGCATTATTGACAATCTTGCATGGATGCCAGGAAGGTGTGAGGCTCTACGTGAAGTGCTGCAGTTCAGGAGAAAGCTGCAGCATGAACTGGTGTTTCACAAGACACCAGGCAATCCACAGGGAGAGAGAACTCACATAAAGCACCTTAAATGGAGAATGCGTAACAGTTTGGGGCTTGCATCTTCACAGTACAACAATATCACCAAGCTGCAGACCACAGAAAACCAAGCTTTGATTCTGGTATTTCTTTGCTAGCATTTCCAGCACATATACCCAGAAGCCACACATCTTAGAGCGTACTGGAGTTATGTATCACATATGCCTCACACACGGGTGGCTGAAACTCACTCTTCGGCTGACACTAAGGGTCAAAAAGAGTTCTCCATAGGCAGCAAGGGTGGGGTTTTTTGATGCAAGCAGTACAAGAGGAGAAACACATGAAGTAACTGGGGAGATGTTGTGACGAGAACAGCATTCCTACGCATCCACCTTCTCTGCCTGACCACTGCAAATACCACCCTCTCCACACCAGGCTGTTTAACTGAGCTGTTTACACACAAGATGCCTGTTCAGTTCTAATACAGAAGAAACATTTTTCCAGTTCAGCTGGCAAAGATGCAGAAGAGCTTGTCCTGAGAATACCAATGTTGCAGCCACTCCCACTGCTCAAGAATTATACATGTATGAGCAGAAGGTGACACATACGGCCACAACCACCAGAAGCAGCCACTCTTTGGGATCCCTGGGTTTGGAAGTGTTTTCCAAAGCTGTGCCAAAAGCACCTCACTGTTATTGTAGAAAAGCTTCGGAGCAAGACAGGCAGCCCACTGTCTGGCTCACGGATATCAGCACCATTCTGTTGTCACCTCCTAGCCCAGAAGTGATGAGGGCTCTCCAGGGAATTGCTGTCTGACTAATGCCTTTTGAACAGATCTGTGAGGGCATTTTATCCAGACTCAGATTCCCAAAGATAGGGACTAGACCAGTATAAGCCTGAAGGCTACAAGGAGCTCACATCTTCCAGATACACAATAGAGGTTACAACAATACACACAACCACTCTAAGGAGGGGGTTTGTGCATTTGTTTTCATCTTTAACTGAATGCCACGGTGCTCACACAGCATCTGGAGCACGTCCCACAGCTACTCCAGCAGCAGATGCTGCTTTCCTGCAATGCTCAGACAACAGAAATGAGACTATTTCAAAACTAACTTCATGAACCAGTTATCAGCTTCTACTTACCGTCTGCCCATTCTCTCCTCTCGTTCTCTCTCCTCTCTCCGTCTCAAACGATCCTGGTTTCTCTTCTCTTGCTTTTCTGCCACTGTTTTCTAGGAAAAAAGTCCACATCATATTTCAGCCATATAGTAACAGGTTAGAGAGACCTGCAGGAGACTATTCTGATAGTAAGACAAAGGTAGCAAGACAAAGAACCATTTCATTGCATTTTATGTGCTAGTCAAGATCTCTAACAAGGCTCTCATTTTCCTTACAACTTCACTAACACTCATCAGTGCAAGAAATGCCACTCCCTACTCTGCTCTGAGTGCCTGTGCTCTAAGAGACAAGCCCATAAGCTTTGAGGCAAGGGATTACTTCAGCATGAGTGCACACAAAACAAAATGAAACAGTGCCCTGGCCTTGTGCCACCGATCAACTGGGGCACTGACCTCAATATACTGCCTAAGGAATAAGGCACAGGAACCACAACTCTTCTTTGAGCATCCTAAAGGCCTCGGCTTGCAAGCAAGGCCAGTACCGCGACTCCATTACAAACAATTTCAGAAAACTTCTAATTGCTCCAGCTACTAAAGGCCTTTTTCACTGACAGCACTATGAGAAACTTCAGTTCAAGCATTTCGTCAAGAGGTCTCAGTCAAAAAACCCACAGTGACCAACTGCAGCCATATCAGTTGGAAAAAACACAGGTGACTGTACCAGTGCTCTAAGGAATCAATGACAACAATTGTCTGGTTTGACTAATTATAAGGGTACATATTTAGTTACCCAGAAGTGACAGAACAGAACCCATGATGAGGCTAAGCAAACCTCCATTTGAAGTTTCAGGGATTCTGCAAACAGAAATTTCTGGGCTTTTACAAGCACTGCACAAAGAATTCTTTATTAATTTAATAGAAGCATTGAACATCTTTAAACTACAAGAAGGTTTAAAACAGAGATGATTACCCTCAGCTGATCCAGTTTCTCACGGATCTGAATGAAACCCAAGTGTAATTTGCCTCCAAAGTGGTCAGCGAGACGCCGGTCGTTGTCATGGAGACCCAGATATGCTGAACAGACTTCACACACACGCAGCTTCTGCTGCTGGAAACTGGATGCAGGCATTGAATTTCGGTATTCTTCCTAAAGGGAGGCAAAAAGCCACGCAAATGTTAGGAAATCCTTATATAGTCACAACCCTCCAGGGAAACCCCTGCAAAGAATTGCACTGCCGCTTTCAAGAATCAAAAAACCCACCCTCAGTATAAAGGAGGTGACAAACACAATGCAAGCACAGTTAATCTGTTATATCCCTGCAAGTGACTAGTGACCAGATATTTCACAGCACAAATCCCTTCCTGACCCAGACAGCTCTCTTCACTAAATAGAAGTTTCTAAAAAGCTTTTCTTCAACTACCACACTACACTGCCAACTGCTTGCTGGCACATGGCTGACACTGAAAAAGGAGGTGCTGGCCACACTGGAAAAGAGGTAGGACCCGCCCAGCTATCTGTCATGTACTCAGCCTAGCCCAGTCCACCATTACAATTCCTAGGAAAACCAGTGACATACCTCTGCCTCTTTCTTTTTCGCTCGGACTTTCTCCACTTCCATCAGGATCTTTTGAGACTCATCGACATTTCCTTCAGCTCCCAGCTGTTCAGCTTTAGCTAGGAGTTTTCCAATGTCTTCATTCAGCTCATGTACTTTCTCCGCCTAAAGAGAATAGTGTTTTTTTAATGAGACAAAAGACTTGCTAAGGCTTGCAGAATGACTCTTCCATATTTCTCTAAAAAAATATTGTTTAAAAAAAGCAGTCAGTGAAAGATGACTATAAATCTCCAAAAGCCAAAGGAGTTCCAACAAGAAGGGACTGGTGGGCCAAGCACTGGCAATGCAATCACAGACACATAGCAAAGAGAGGAACTGGACACAGAGGACATCATCAGCTCTACTGCAAACACCAGCACGTTTCTGGCTTGCAGGACAGGACAGAGTCCGCAAAACCAGCTTCACAAGTGCTCTGTATGGTCCTGAAGAAGCCAGTTCCCAAAGAGGAAACTCCATGAGCATTTACTAAGTGAAAAGACAACACTCATGGGATGGATTTACTATCCTAAGCTACTACATTAACACCGAATAGCAGGGCAGGGGGAAACCAATATGCTTTTATCGCCAAGCTAAAGCAACCTATTTTAGAGTTCATGTTTTATGCTACCGTGCCCCTCTGAACCAGTAAGTTCACCACAAGAACAGCCAGAGCAGCATTTGAGGATGGCTGGAATCTACAAGGCTGTTGTAGAGCTTAACTTCCCAGTATCAAGTGTCAGAGGCAACAGAGCACCAGTGCTCTCACACAGACTTCCAGAACAGACGTTTAATACCTTTGCAGACACTTCAGCACTGATCTCTTCCTGCGTCTCCGCCAGGCGTTTCTTGGCCAGTTCTGTTCTCCTATCACACTCTGCAATGAAGGATTCCAGGTGATCCATCGCCTGCATGTTCAGACAAAGAACTGTGTGAATAAAGTGCTCTCCGTGCCAGCTAGCTCTGACAGCCAACAGCTAGCTGGTGCCATCCCTGTGTAATGCACAAACAACCTCAAGAACAGATGCCTTGAGAAAAAATATGACACACTGCAGAAAAAGAAAAGTTTGATCCCTGCCCTTAAGTCTGTCATCCATCTGGAACCTGACACGGTTCCTTTACTCTGACACGTAACAGGATGCTCACATGAAGACAGCTTTGCACTGGAACTTAAAACACATAAGCAACAGGTGCAAAGACAAAAGCACTGGAATAACATAAAAAGGGAAGACAGGATTGCTCTTTCACTTGATGTGTTCCATAATAGAAAGCTAAATCTGGCAAAAGTGAAACCACAGAGCTGCCAGCTTTTAATGTCAGCTCTCCTGGGACAGGCCACCAGGTTACAATGACCTGGTAGAGAGCAGCAGGTGTGGGATGCAAGGAATGCCAGAGGAGCCTCCCAGCTGGCTGGACTAATGGGGTTGCAAGGGCTGCAATTACTTTTATAATTTCAATTCAGGAATCACTGGCATTCGGGTAGAGGCTGCACATTCTTGTCAGATAACACATCAAGTAACATGGCTAGCTGAAATGCCCACTGACTTCTATTGTTCAGCCAAATAACTTCAAGAGGCAGTTTTCACAAAAGTAACTACAATTTCTCTGTACTCACATCCAGCTCAAAAAACAGATCTCTCTCTTTACTTGCAATCTCATAATCTGCTCGGAGTGCCAAGTCATGGATCTTTGTACACTCTCCCAGGTCCATTCGCTGTTGAAAAGAAAAAGGAAAAATCAATGTAAGAACCCTCCATGATGGCAATAAGCAGCAGATACTTAACCCTTGTCAACCACATCATATCAAAATACAGCCTCTTTAGGAAGAAAAGCTTCATCTTAACCTGTCAGTAACAGAACTAGCCAGAAGAACAATGTGCTTGCTAGAACCCCTCTTTTAGGTGTTCCTGGAACAACATTAAACCACCCCAAATGGTCCAAGTCCAATTCTGCTCTAGGTCACAGCACAGCCTTAGGAATTGCTCTGGGAGGGAGCTGGGCAGGCGCAGCACGCTGCAGCAACTCCTTTAACATTCACCAATCCCAAATGCCTCCTATTACAGAGCGACAGCACAGCAAAACATACAGCTCTGCACCCTGTTTAAAGCTACCCAAAAAGCACGTCTGTGTCAGGACTAGCCCTAGTACCATATTCTATAGTAACATACAGAACCAAATCACAGAACACAGACAGAATGTTTCCTGTCGACAACAAGCAGACTTTGGGGAATAAGGGCTATGGCCAGCAGAAAAGCACAAACCCATACTCGGCAACAGACTCATATCCTACAGCTAGCCCCTTCCCACATTCAGCTGCAGCCTGGAATTTTAAAAACCTGCCCAGCAAAGCTAATGCCTATGCATAAGCCCATCTAATGAGAGACTTCTTGAGAGCATCTCCCTTCCCAGAAAGCTCTGACTTGCATGCTGCCCTTCATTCATTGCCATCAATGCTATTTAAATTTATTTTTCTCCAACTTAGTGGTTAATCACCACACTGCTCTCAAAACATGGAAACCGCATTTCAACATTATCAATATGTAATAGAGAACATTTCTCTTATTCTTAAAACAGAAAAAGAATATGACATTTTGAAAGCCAAACTAATAGAAGGCCTAAGTGTTGAGCCACAGTACAAATGGCAGGGTACATGTCATCAGTCACCCAACCTCCTCTCTCCTGTCACTACCAGTCCCAAGGAGCCCAAACCTGAACACAGAACAACAGGTGCCAACTCACTGAAATGCAGAAAAAACTAAATACAGCTAAATCTGGATCAACACAGGATCCCTGTGGAACATCACAACTAGAGCTGGGGGTGCCAAGGTCACCGCTGCGAAGCACTGCACTCGGACAGCAGCAGTGGAAGTGTTTAGAATGAAGCAAAGCAACTAAAGCAAGCTCCACCAGGTAACGCTCTGGGTTTCAGCAGTTACCCGTTATTAGCTTTTCTTTTTTAAACAAAGAAAACAATTCCGGATGACTTGCCACTATTTAGTCTTCCTCATTTTGCTCAGATTTCTCAGAAACAGAAGGCCATAGGCAGCAGGCTACAGAAACAGACACTGTATCCAGGAATAAGTCCTGCTGTGCTCTCTTAATGGTAGAAATCTAATGCCTACCAAAAAAAAGCATTTGGTACTCTCAGAGCTTAATCACATTTATCTTCAGGCAAGCCTCTTCAAAGAATTCTAACAAACTATTGTTATTTTACCACAAAAATAACTTTCCATGATGTGACTTAAATCTTTTATAGTTATTCTACTGAGATCTTTTTCCAATATAGGGAGAAAATAGCAATATTAGATGTGATTGTCACAGATCATGAAATATCTGAACTCTTCTTGCAAGCTGAGCCACTCGCTCCACTTCAGAGAAGGGGCTCTAACCCACAACTTCAGAAGAGCCGACAGTGTGCTCCATATTCCTCTCCCTCTTTGTTAAAAGGCAACAAAATCCCTCAACCTCTTCCTCTTGGGGAAGAACATTCAGGTCTCACCGGCATACGAACCTCAAGTCTCCCTCCATGTCCTTGGAGGTGATTTAGGTGCATGGAGATTTTCACAGGTATTGCTCACTGGCAGGTAAGATCACTAGCCCTTTGGTCTCAAAGAATCCTCTCGTCACAGGGAGGCCTGTCATCGAGTACTCACCCTTGCCAGCAGCGATCATGGCTTGCTCCAGTCAACACCCATGGCTGGTTTATAATTACAGGTATTTGAGACAGGTAACCAGCAGAGCCTGAGGAAGGATTTAACCCCCCATACACACAAAGATTCAATACATTTACATGCCACTGACAATTACTCCTGCTCACATTTGCTGAGCAATCCACATTCTGAGGTACCTCTTATGACCGCCACTAAACTGCTAACTCACCAGAAAGTCTACTTCCGTGAAGGCAGCTCTGTGGTAGTATTCAGAGCTGCAGAATTTCACCCAAGTGGAAAAGGAAAGTGCAGACTCCCACGAAAAAATTCCTCAACCTACAAACTTCAGCTCACTCTTAACTCCCAGTGGGGAACACAGTTAATTCCCTGAATGTAATTTCCAAGCTATGTTCTACCTGGGCAGCTTTCAGAAGCATCTGTCCACTTGTTAGTGGAGCTAAAATTCAGGATTACTAGCTGGTGCCATCTCTGAATGTGCTGCAGTACTTCCACTGTGAGAAATATGCTTACCCTTAGCTACAGAGCTAACTCAGTGCTGGCCAGTAACAATCTAGATGACAAGTCCCCTGACAACAGCACATGAGCATACTAAACCAACTTGTGTTCTCCCAGAATTTTCCTCCTTTCTCATGGAGAGCAAAGAGAAGCACTGTAGCTTATTTAGCAACAAGTTTCTGGGGTCAAAGGCTCCTACGACCAGGAACACCAGCACACAAACAAAGCAAACATCAACATGCCTGCTACAACTCTCAGGAATACTCCAGAGCTTTACTTACAGCCTGGACTCCTCTTACTCTGCACCTGAAGGTCAGTGAATGGGTCTCCATCACATTTCAAGGAGCACAGCTACCCAAGGGATCCAGCTTCCTGCTCATCTCCAATCAGCCTCCCACTAAGGGATATCTGCACACATGAAGGATGCAGCAATAACAATGCCTTCGGGGGAAAGATGTAACATAACCAGCACCAGAAGGCTTAGAGCATCTGTTGGAAGGTTCCAAAAAGATCCAAGGTCCTGATTTCTGCAGTAATACACACCCAGAGACAGATTCAGCTGAGGCTGATTCACCCTCACAGCTCTTTCCTTAACAGAGCAGCGTAAGATGCCAGTGAACCTGACCGAGATCACGAGGAAAGCCTGCACCTTCCAGTTAAGTTTCATTCTGTGCTGGTACTGCTGACAGCTGAAACGCTGCTCCTGTTCCAGACACCACATGTTCCTTCAACACAGGTCGGTAGCACCAAGACTTTTTCTTGCCCCCAAGCTGCTGACAGCAGTGTAGAGCTCCACCGCCACTTAAAGGCCTCCACAAGATCACCTGAGTGATCCACAAGATCACCTTCACAGAAGCAGCCTTCCCTACTGCTCCCGCATGAGATTCCTGAGCATAAACTCCACAGCAAGAAGGAAGAGACAACTCACTGCAGACAAGTAACAAAAGAAGCAAGAGAAACAGATTTCTCAAAGTGTGTCTCCACCCCAGGAGGCTCACAACACATCTGGACACCTTAAACTTCCTCCGTGCTTTGGCACTAGCTCCAACAGTCACGCACTTAATTCAACCCCTTCAACTCACCGTTTACCTTCTTCCTGAAAACGTGCCAGAGGAGGTAGAAGGCAGCCCGCATCTACAAAATATCGTTTGGGCCCCCCCAAAAAATGTTGTAGAATCTTGTGTTAAAAAAATATACCCTAACCATAGTGACCTGCATGAAGGATGGAGGTGGGCAGAAGGTGATTTAAGCAGCTTAAAAATTCTGAAATGGAAGCGAGGTGATACAGAGGCTGATGGAGCAATTGCTGAAAAATACATCTGAGCTTCAAATTAATAAAAAATACAGAGATATACAGAGGTTGGTATCAACTCCTTCAATCTTATTCTGTAACAGCAGCCACTGAGAAGCTAAAGTTTGAGCATTCAGAGCCAAGGCAGATTTTGCTGAAGCTCTTTCTAGTAGTGCTGTCAGAGCCTTGCTATCACGGCGGCACAGAGGAAGGAGTGCCAGCCCTCCCCTTTGTTGGCAACCCACTGCGTCAAACCCAGCTCTTGAAATGACAGCAGGAAGGGCTATAAATAATTACAGTATCTTTAAACAATCTGGTTAAGTGAACGGACAATATGAATCGCCACAGTATTTAGTGTCAAACAGTGAGGGTAAAGATTGGTTTCAAACATACATATTCATCTCCATCATGCAACTCAGTAACACAGCAACAATTACAGAAGACAAGGGCTGTTTTCTTTTGAAAGTCAGACTGTAACTTTCTTCTGGGCACTTCAACTGAACGCTTACTTTGCAAGATCTCACTGTTAAAAGCCTATGTCACCTTTTGCTCTCGGAGAGAGCATGTGAGCCAAACCTTTGAAAATCGGCCAGCTCTGTCCCCAGAGGAGAGCAGCAAAGGAGCCGACCCAACTGTTTCAAACCAGTCAGGCAGCGTGACACACTGCTCAGACCAACCAACAACAAAGGCAAAGTCAGCCTGAGCTGTAACCTGCCATTAGCACGCCAACCAGTAACGATGAAAAAGCTGCCGTTCCACCCCGAGAACATCACATGGGTTGAGAGAGGAGACTGAAAAATCTCTGAGGATTAAGGATTATTGCAGCTGGTAAGAAGAAACTTTCTCACCTGAAGATGCAACAGTGAACTAGAGCACCCAGGACAGCAGGTTAGCTACAATCTTGTGACCTCCACAGGCCAAGTTTCAGGCCCTAATCATCTCAAAAAGGTAAGAGAGAAATAATTTTGCAACTTCACGTGGGATCGTGAGAGAAAAAAAAAACATTTCGAGCAAATCCTGAGTGCTACTGCCTTTGAGGTTCCATACACAGGTCACAGAAACCAAAATTAAAACTGTGACTGCTTCTTGGGCACAGCAAGTCTGATCTCTCCTAAAAGTTACCTACAATGCACAGACAAGCCCTGAAGAGCTGTTCCAATGTCTGCCTCACCAGAATTCCTTATTACAGAGAATATACTTACTGTTCCGGCCAGGATATCATGCGGACAGCAATCCAGAAGGTGGCTCTTGCAAACACGATCGTCTGTAAACTTCACCCTTTGTCTGGTTTCATCTCCTGAAATTCATTTGTGGTTTTAAATAAGGAGACATTAGAATACCGATAAGAGAACAAAGACGTCGGTATGATCATTTCGCCTCAATATGCAGATTAAAATACTTGGTGTTCCTGCTCCCCAAAATTACTTGAAAAAAAGCTTAGAGCATAACAGGATATTCTGGAACACTTATAATTGGCAACAAACACTATTTTAGCATTTATTCATCCAGTACACCATGTTAAACACAGTGTTGGCGAGCCAAGTAACATCCAAGGCCTGTCATCCATATAAAGAGACAGCACAGCCAGAAGAGAAAAAAGGAGACAGACAGTCTGGCTCGCAGCCAAAGCTCCCCCCCCCTTTTTTTTTTTACTGAGGAAGGGGCAGGAGGTACCAAAACCCACGCTATCGAAAGGCCATGAATCACAAAACAAGGCTGTGCTGGACAGCTTTTATAGGCAATTGCCATTTGCTCATCTGATAATTAAAATATCGGTCCATTTGGCTTGAAAACCAAATATGCAGTGTGCTTTCCAAGGCCGTGCAAAGACGAATCTCGTAGGTCTTGGCCTGGAACACGAAGCGTGCTTCCCACCCACGTCCCACCCTCAGGAGACATTTTACACTCAGGAGCCACTTAAACAAGACAATATCAGAAAAGCAAAAAAATAAAAAATAAAAAAAGAAACAAAGTTAGTCAATACACACTGCGAGCTCCAACATATACTATACCCATCTGCATTCTTCAAGACCTCAGCTGCAGAATTTTATGCCCACTGTTGAAAAGTTTTAAAGGAAAAGTTTTCTTGCCCACACCTGCAGTAAGGAAGTCAGGGGAATGATACATAAAAGTAAAGGCAAAGTGGTAATGGTATGTGACAATTTTAAAGCTCATCTGTGTATATGACACAGGTATGTGTAATACTAAAGTATGAATATAGTTTAGGATTCACAAGCATCCAGGAATAATGTTGTGTCTACTGAAAATTGTTTTCTTTTTTTAATTTTTTTTTTCTTTCTAAGCTACACTTTTAAAGTTACTTGTGAAAAAAAAGCAAACACTTTTTTTTTTTGTTATAACAGCTTTAAAAATTGGTTGTGACTCACGGCTCGATGAACATGAGGCTTTTCTGCAACTCCCTTGCAGATTGATGTAGGCAGGCAAAGATACACTGAACCTTTATAAATAAAATAGAGGGGCCACAATTGTTCAGTTTGTATGAAATAAAAATATGGGAAGCAATTCAATAGCAACTCAATACACGAAGAAAGAAAAGCACTTATTCACTTACGAAACGAAGTGCAAAGTACCTCAACAGCCCTACTAATGTGCCAAAGGGAATTTAAGTACTCAGCAAGTCGCAGAAGGGAGATACAAACCGCAGCGGGTACATATTTCGCAGAGGCTGCCACATTTTTCTTGGACAACAACTACAGCGGCCGGCTCCTGCAGGCACACCTACCTACACGCCTCTGTATGTACGGCGCGGCCTGGGCACGGAGCTTTCCCTAAAACCTCCGCGGCAGCCGGGCCCGGAGCGGCGGGCTCCTCCCGGGGCTGGGCCACGCCGGGCGCTTTCTAGGGCCGGGGGCGAGGCGGGCTCCTCCGCCGGGCAGGCCTACCCCTACCGGGCTCCCTGTGCCGAGCTCGCTAGGCCGCCC